CAAGTTGGCCAAGAAAACCATGGAACATAGGCTCATTTCATGTTCCTACTACCTTTATAAGCTCTGGCAACATCCACATAAAGCATGTTCCCGGTCTCTTTACCACAGGTCAAAGGGAACATCTACCACATTCTACCACAGTATGGGATCCCCTGAGTCCTCCTCACGAGACAAACTCTAACTCCAACTTGCTCCACGCTCCATCCCACTCCATCCCACTCGCCCAATCCGTGCCACTGCGGCACCTAGGGAGCGCAGCACCGCCTCCCTCCGCGTGGAGTCCAGGAAGGCATTCGGACAACAGGAGTGCTTGAGCCTCCCGCAGGTGACAAACCTCGTGGGCTTGGCGCCGGAAACCGTGGAAGCGGGGAGGAACCGCGGGGAACACTGGTAAGGTGCTGGTTATCAGTCGCGCTAGAGGCTGGGAAGGATAAATATATAAGTATAAATTTGATCTTCCAATATATCCATCTTGTAAAGTGCATTGCGGGTTAAGCTGCTCCAAGTTACCTGGGATTGGGCTGGGATTCAAATCCAAAAACCGCCAAACATCATCCAAAAGCGTGCAAAACGCTTCCGTTGCGATCCAAAGATCTACTGTAGCACCAATGTACTTCATCCTTTGGCCCCTGTCAGAGTACTTATCACAGTGCACTATGGCATTATGGTAACAAGTAGAGGCTGACCTCCGTGACGTGGGGGTGACCTGGCCGGCAGCTGACGTCAATAAAGAGAAGCTTGCACCGCATCCAAACAAGGAACTCTTCTTTCACAACAAATTGAAAAGGACCGTGCCTTTAACTGCGTTGTGGTGAGAATCTGAAACTGCTTGTGATTTTCCCAATCCTAAAATTCATTAAACATGTATATAATTAGATAACGTATGATAACATAACATATTTGCATAAGCACAGCATGGACACTTCACCCAACACAAGGCGGTATCATTAAGAATAAGACCACTCAACAATAAATACAGTTCACTGGTTCCATCCTCGTCCGAGTGACAGTGCCACCATGTCCGGCTCTCGGCTACAGATCTTTGCATTGGAGGCTAGCACCGCGTGAAGAGGACTCCTGCCCAAGCAAAGGACTCTTTTACTCCGTACCAGGTACAGGTATGGCAGTCTTCAAGTGGCTCGCAAATGCGCTGTCTACAAAGTGCAAGTTCATTCTATCCATGTGGAGAACATGCACGTCACATCATCGTCCTTTTTCCAAACCTATCAACATCAACAACATGAACAGAATGCAGAACTTAATATCAATCAATGGTTGGCTGTTCAGGTGAGTTGGACGATGTTGATTGATATGAGCTGTGTGTAGTTGCTTGGCTGTTCGCTTGGTCACGGGGTTGGTGGCTAACTCAGTTCGTTTGACGAATCCGTTGGCCCCATGGACGAATCCATCATCCCGCAACGGGCAAACTCCTGGACTCTCCGGTGAAGCGCTTCGACTTCAGCTCCAATGCCTCGATTCCGTCTGATTTCAATCACGTCTGAGACATTCATCCAAAGAGGACATGGAGGTATATGAAATTCTCATCTACTGTCTACTGTCAACTGTTATCTTACTATCTTACTATGAACACTGACAGCGAAGGGTAGACATTTCGATGCAGCCGACGCCGACGCCGTTAGAGATATTCTTCCTCTTCGCACCAGTGTCACTTATTGTGACACTTGTGTCTGTCCAGTCTCTCAACCACGCTACTAGGAACAAGTGCATCGCTACTAGTAACAAGGGCATTACTAGTAGTAACAAGAAGCACATCACAGCACCCAGTCTGTGGGTAGATGTCTTGTGCTTTGTCAGTCTGTCTTGCAAAGAAAGGACTCAGGTGACTAAGGGTGGTCCCAAAGCACCACTGGGTAGACCGGAAGCACCACTGGTGATGTCAAAATGCTTTAGAACATCCGAAGATTCAATCACACATGTTGTGAAGTTTTAGCTGCACCCTATCTATCTAGGTGTGAACTGGTAAACATCAGTATGCTCCTGACATTGCTGAGTGAGAGGACATGTCTAGTGGTGGCTAGGGGTAAGACGGGGTAAAATAAAGCCATATTGAACATCATGTAACCCATGCATAGGGGACGTGTTGGGGTGTTGAGGAAAATCAGGTTGTCAGATTCAACACATTGACTAAATTCAAATCAAATAATCCTGGGGATTCTAGGGAATGTGCACTGGAATACATCAAAGGTTGTTGATATTTTCTCATTGGAACACTTCGGGTCTCTGCCCTGGCCTCGGACTTCCGCGCGTGGCTCTCCAGTTGCTGCGCCATCTGTGCTGTCGCGTCGGGGCCAAGGGCTGCATGGCACGAGGACGCCTCGAAGAGCAAGGGGCTGCCCGCGGGCACCTGAGAAGTAAACAACCGATGGCACCTGGAAAGTGGGATTTTTGTAGATATTTATATTAATATATAGTTTATCATCTACTATTACTAGGGAGAAGTGAAGAACATCAACACAAAGGAACGGATGGGCAAACATAGGATGAACAATGAAGGTCCAAAGAGCAAAAACAAGAACTGAAAAGAGAACTTCGAACAAAAAGAAAAGAAACATCTCATCTTCAAGACTCTTCAACTTTGAATCTCCAACTGCCCAGGCAGAACCGCATTGCGCCTTGCACGCCGCCCGGAAGCAGCCGTCAGGCCCCTCCACCAGCCGCTTTTCAATTATCTCCCAGTACCCAGCTTTGAGACGCCTGTGAGGGACGCTACGAACGTAACAGAGGGCATCGCTAGGAACGGAGCGCTCCTGGCCTTACTACTAGGAGCATTCTTGCTACTAGTAACAAAGGGCAAGAAACGTTCTTGCATTCTATAACTCATCTACCACCGATGTTCGCAATCGAGAAAGCTGAACGACTAGTACTAGTCATTGCTCTTCGGCCAGTGCAAATGGTTCAATTTTTCAGAAGGACATTCTGTTGGACTTACCAGTGTTTGTTTGAGGAGATAGGTTGCCTGAGGCTACCTACAGTATAGTCATAGCATATGGATGCAATGGTTGCAAGAGACATGAATCACCTATTTCAGGTTTGTTGTGGCTGAAAAACACTTGGGCTCCAATTTGGAGGAGAACCGCTTGGCTTTGCCAATTTCTGATGTTCTTTTGTCCCCGCACTGTCTTTCCAATCGACTGGATCAATGTGGAGCGGATTGAGTCCTTCTTATCCTCAACTCACTAAGTCTGACATCGGTGTTCTCACCCATCTGGTCTTGTTCCTCATGAATAAGAGAATCACCGGCTGATTGAGAAATACATCCAAAGGTATGAAGAACGTGCCAAATGCTCTTGCTCCGGTTGTTTTTGATTCTTTCAAAAAAACCTCGGTAAGGTTTCATGATGTTTCATGTACCACGCTCCAGGGCCTCTCCCACTCAGCCGCCAGCTCGCCATCGTCGCCCTGCAGGGATGCAGCATAGGCCACTGGACCACCTGGTGCCATCGTTTGATCTGATGGGCCTGCTGGGCTAAAACACAGAGGGGGAACCCAATGATGCTATAGCCACTGGATCCTGCCACCAAGGCCTTAGGGCCTTGGTTTTCTATTGCGGCTTGTGAACATGCTCGAAGGTACCGAACGGAGATACCAGTGATAGTGCCTTCAGACCGAACCCCTTGGCCAAAAGGATGAGCAAGCTATGGTACCTGGTACCTGATGCGAAGCCTATGGCCTATGGCCTGTAATTATATGAGTTTGTTTGGCTTCCCCAGAAGACAGTTGATCCTCTGGATTGTGAGTGCAAGCCTTTCTCCGTTTCTCCCTCGACTTCTTTTCAATAGAAATACAAAATACCAATGTGTCTTCTGCTTCTTCAGACTTATATGTGTACAGTACAGCAAAGTCAACAGTACAGTATGGAACCCCACTTCCCCGCTGATTAGTCCTGCACGATCCGAAGTGATGAGCAAACGCCACAGGGGCCCCAAGCGCCACCTCGCAAAGCTCGGCCACACTGGTTGATCCCCAAGACACCTGGCAAGCTCTGCGGCCTTCGACGAGCACAGCAGCTCGAAGCCCAGCGCCAGATCTCCATGTGGCCATTGGAACGTTCTTCGAGAATCCGGTGCAGCAGCGGCAAGCGTTGATGATCCAATGTAAGGTTCACAAAGCTATTCTGAAGCTCATGAACAAACGGGGTGAGACCAGTATAGACCAGGAATGAATCCAGTACGCTCATTCCGTTGCAAGCTCTTGGGCTTCATGGGATTGTTCCCTGCGACTATTGACATGGGGATCCTGCTGTATGTGTTGAATGTCTTTTGAAGGTGGGTGTTGCGAAAAGAATCTTGGAATGCTATGCTTTGACACACCAACAAAAGGCATTGTCTTAGAAGATAATAGGGAGGAGACGCAAAAACCATCAAACACACCTGGTTGAGGGCCGCTAAGGCTGACATCTATCCTCCTTCAAAACGTGTAACCTCGTGCAACAGTCCTTGACACAATCCTTGGTTGGACGACTCTAATTACACATGAGTGTGCTTGACCCCAGCTTGACTGCTTGACTTGGCAAGGCATGCACAAACACCCAGAGGAGGATGGACAATAGCTCACGGGGTTGAGAAGGAAATGGAGTTGTGCAAGTACCATGATACGTCAAGGATGACTCCCTCGTGGACTTGTGCTGTTGCATCTTGTGCTTTTCAAGGCATCAAACACACGAGTCGAGGCAGCTTGACCAGTGCAAAGCCTATGTATATAGATGGGAACACATCCACATACCCCGCAAATATCCGCCGATCTACGCTGACTCTACACCGCCATTACACTTCTTCATGGTCCAAACCCCATTCAAATGCAACTTTGTTTTCAATCTTAATGATTGAATCAGGAATCCCAAAGTTTCCAGGTTAGATGATTGTTTTTGGTGGTGTCTTTGTGCCTCAATATGGGGATGCGAGCTTCCAAACACCCTTTGTCTTCTTGTCTTCCAAGTAAAGCACCCAGGCCACGTGGGAGCAAACTGAGGCCCCCCGAGCGGTAGCAAGTCCACACGACTGGAGAGCATCTGCCCAACCTTCCTCAGTGAGGAGCGACATCTCTCAACGAACTCCCAAACGATCGAGGTCAACATCATCGGCGGCTCCGGCGGCTTCGGACCCGGCTCCTGCGGCGAAACGGTTCTAAGCGTGAGTGCCGAAGGTTGCTTGGTGCTGCGGTGCTGCTCTTGTGAAAGTCTGCTCAAAAAGGAACAACGAAGGGAAGCTGCCCAACCGGGGGACCCGGGTTCACCAGGGAAAATGAAGAGAACAAATTACCTAGGGGATAGGCACCCTTCCGTCTCCCAGGTGGTCCAGGATGCCTGCTAAGAAAGCTCAGAAGGTGCCCCTGCCAATAGCCATGTAAATTAACAATTGTAAATATGCCATTATGTGCCATTACATGTCAACATCTTCGACTGTGACAAGAGGCCTATCAATTATTGCGTGACAATCCCGGATTAACTGTAAATTCAGGGCCTCCCCAAGTGCACCAAAGTCGCCCCACGCAAGCAGCCCACCGGGCCAGTCGCGCCATCTAACGCCCCCCCGCCATCGTCATCCGATTTCTCCCCAATCTGTGCCACTCCAAGCGACACAAAACTGGGCCCCAGCTCCACCAAAGCTTCTCTGAGCTCCTGTGCCAGCTGCTCCTCCGCGCTCCGCCGGCTGCCCCACTGCGCCCACGCGCGCGTGGCCCAGCCGCTGAAGCGGGCGAAAACCTGCAGGAACCGCTGGAAGACCTGGGCGCTCGAACTGAGTCGGAATGTGAAACGCGCACGAAGTTGCAGCGGTGAACAGAGCTGTATTGTCCGGAATTGTCTCATTCTATGACTTCCAAAGGTTTAGGACTTTGAAAGGACATCAACAGGAGACTGAGAAGAATTATACCAACAAGATTCAGATCCTCAACTGACTGAACTATACAGTATATCTTTCGTTACTTGTCCTCAGTTTTGGTCAGTGTTCAAATGTTTTCAAGTCCTAAGTTCTTGCGTTTTCAACAAGAACCGGGAAGCAAATGCTCTGGGTGTGGAACAAACACATTAAATAACAATCACCTGAAGGAATGCATCTGGCTGGCTCTCAAAATGTTTCTTCCAAAAAACGTGAACAAACCACTTTCGTCATTCATATATATATATATACATGCTTAGCTGCCCACTTCCGCTTTCCTTCGCAGAACTTGCTGGTAGATGTTGAGAAACACCCCGCCAGTTTCCTTACCCCAGCAAGAACGTCGCAAGAACCATATTTTCGATTTGTTGAGTATTATGATTTTTCAGCACTGCTGGCTTGCTCGAGCCGCTCAAACCCCTACCAAATCCGCCACTTTGGAGTTGAGGCACCTGGGAACCATGGCTCTGACAGGCCTCTGCCACCTCCTCTGCCGAGTACACGCTGGGCAACCGTGGCCCACTTTCGGACGCGCGGGCAGTTCCGCGCGCAGCGCAACGAGCGCAGGGCGTGCGGTGAGCGCGCCGCGCGGCGCAACGGTAGAAGGCCACAAGGGCAGAGGACACCCAAGGCCTGGAGGGCCATAACGAGTGGAGACGGGCATGGAAGGGAGAGATCAAACACGATCAAACATAATCGGGTGGGCATTATTCAATAGGGAAGACGCTCTTAAATTTACCATCATTCAAGAAGCAACTGCCGCGATCTGCCATGATGGTGGATAATAAATGCGCTTATATTCATATTCTATCTTTTTTTCTGGTGCTATTTGAGCACAGAATCTGATCACCAAGAACACTTCCAATCATTGCCTGTCTAAGTATGTCGTTCGGAATGTCGTGTCCAAGCTAAATACGTCATTACTTTCAAATTCAGTTAACCAACATAACTAGTTGCGGCGGTGCTAATTATGACCCCTGGGATCGCCCACTACATATATATATATATATGCACATCTGATGGTCTTTTCACATTACAGTTTCACTCCCCTGCCAAGCCGGTTGGATTTTGGCATCGCCTTCCAGGCAAACTTGGCCTCTTGCAGCCCAGTGGCCATGCTATCTGCCTTGGTGGCAAACCTGCCGGTACGGCCCGTACAGCCCGTACGGCGCGGGCGAGGGCCGGCTGAGGCCCGGCTCCGGGCCGCCCGGGCGCCAGCATGGCGTCATGGCGGAGGTTGGTGGGTTGGGGAGGCAAAGCTGTGTCCAACCAACTGGGGAAATCAATTGAAGGCCTTTCTGGTGAAGTCTGGATTTATACTACAAAGCAGTGAACTCATGTTTGGAGACATGACAAGTCACTGCTATGCTTGGATATGGGTGGAGGCATATGTAAAGAGTGTTCAACGTGTTCAACTCATAGAGAAAGCACATTTTGCTGGGGAGGCCGCGCTCCTATGGCGCGACCCACCGGGTGCTTCACGCGAAGCTTGGAAGAGCTTGAGCACAGGGGTGAGATGAAGCTCCGCTAATTCGAAGCATGGCAAGGGGATCAGCCAAGAACTGCCACTAGAGCTGGCCGCTGCTGGCCGCTAGAGTCACTAGAGCTGGCCCTGAACATGATCGCAAGGGTGTGATCTAGAGATCAACAAGAGCCTCCTTTCCTAGTTGTTGAGGCTCCAAAGCAAAGCATTCACTGGACTTGTTGTTGCCTTCGTTAACACTGCCCATGCAGGGATCTTTGCCCTGGGCAAAGCAACTCATGTGCCCCGACAAGCGTGCTGCACCCACTTCTGGCATACTTTTGGGCATCCTTGGACTGGGTGGACAAGAAACTACCTTCAGCAGAAAGAAGAATGAATGTACACGACCTCTGGGTGGGTGCAAACGGTGCTTGTGGAAGGTAACTCTTTCGCATGGCAAGGTACAAACAGCAAGTATGCCAAAAGCTCCCAGCCGGCTCACACTGTCAGCTTTGAGATGGAGGACACGACCTGCTAACGGAGCCAGCAGCGGGTAACATGACAACCCCCTTGAGAACCCACGGGTGCGCGCACGTGACAGCACAATTGTGGTCTTCATTCTTTGATGGTTTGATGTTTTTTTTCCACCTGCCGGGGGAACGTCATTCACTTTGCAACGAAGCCCTGAAATGCTGTAAAGCTCAAAAGGCACAGATTTGCGGGACCTTGAGATCATCAACAGGTTATCCTCATTCCCAAATGAAATGGGTGTCTTGAGTTCGGATTATGTAGTTACTGCAAGCTGAAAGGAAAACAAAAACATCAACTGAAATTGTTGTTCAAAACAAGGAGTCGGAATTGTTTGCTGTGACTGCCTCCTGCCGCTGTGGCATTCAGTTGTTAGCAAGTTGAGCATCAACGCAAGTCACTCCAAGTCTTTTTGAGCACCCTGCAGCATAACAGCAGCATCTGGGCTCCCAAGTTCCAATACTTGATCCACACCAAATCTGCAAGTAGAATCCAATATCTGATTTCTGGAGACTCCTTTTTGCATCATTCGACCGTGCAACAGTCAGTTGGCCGCTGAAGATGTGATGGGCATCGTCTTTCCCAGACCTGTGTCGGTGTCGTCTAGTGCTGCTAGTGATCAGTCACTGATCCACCAGGATCCCGTAAGCCAGCATCGCTCAGGCACGGTATGGAGGTGGTGGGTTCCGCCAGCATATGCACCTCCTGAATTCTGGCAACTCAGCTACATGATGAAGTTCAGTACAAGAATATGTTCATGACATTTCATGACAAATCATCACAACATATCACAACTTATCCACACCCAATCAGGTCTTTAGTTGTGCTACAGCTGACTTGGGACAATAAAGCCTTGGCACATGTTCACCTATGTTGACCTGCCTGACCGTGCAAAAACACAATTGTGCTGTCCGTTCGTATACCAAAACATCCAACACACATCTTGCAGGCACTTAGCCAAAATGGGGTAGACAAGCGATTCGAAAACCATCCCCATCCACTATCTTAGCCTCCACGATCCACTTCATCCCTTCGATCCGAGCTTCAGATTTCCAGATAACTCCAGCAGTCGTCCTCCTTCGATCTCCCTCGGTCCAAAGTCTTCATCCAGGGCATCTCAAGCCGAGGGGGTGGACTCCGACAGGTCACCCCAAAGTTCTGTGAGGAACTCCCCAATTTTTTCAAACTCTCCAGCGCAAAGCTGCTGCCTGCGGACGGGCGGGACGGCCAGAACAGCCAGGACGTCTCCTGCATGGAATAATTCGAAGGCATTGCGCTGTGGTGAGTCTACTTGATCCTTTAACATACTTTAACTAGGCAAAACACATGATTATTCGGATAACCTGATAACCCAGTGAACATAAATTTAAGCGTTCCATTCAAATTTCCAATGCCCAGGGACCCAACCCTCATACATCCTCATACATCCTCATACGTTTTGATTTCAATTGCCTTCCTCCACCGGTCCGCTTCATGGCCCACCTGCCCCGTGCGCAGGCATGGCCCAAGGTCTCATCAATGACCAAGCGGAGGTCGGCGCCATGGAGCCGTTCCTCGTAGCTTTGGAAAGCGTTCTGCGGTGGGCAAAGCCGGTCCCAGCGCCCATGGTGCGCAAAGACCTCCCAAGCGATGCGATGTGTGGTGGATGGTGTGAATGATGTGAGCGTGTGTGTGTGGGTGTGTAGCCCTTAGATTCATAGGGAACCTTTTATGTTTTTAACTTTGGTTTTTAAACACAGGGGGTCCATGGGCACTTGGATGGCATGGGTCAACAAAGACCCATCCAAGTTCCTGTGAAAACGTACGCGGAATTTTGATTTGACTGCATTAGCACTATATTGCAGGAGCTCTTTGAAGATGCAGCAACGCAGTAGACAGCTTTGGCTTTACTTGGGTTCCAGAGGTTACTTACAAACGCATTAGAATCATTAGCACTTTAAAGATGAAACAACGCAGTAGACAGCTTTGGCTTTACTTAGGTTTTAGAGGTTGCTCACAACTGCATTCGCGCTTTAAAGAGGAAACAACGCAGTAGACAGCTTTGGCATTATTTAGGTTCTAAAGGTTACTGACAGAAAAACATATAAAATGAGTAATCATCAGCACTGCAGTGCAAATCCAAAGATCAGAAATTCGCAGATTCAGTGATCTACCTTGCAAGCGAGCTGATCAGGAAGCGGCTCTCGACGCATGCACTCTAGTCAAGAAGGTTCAGTGGTGAATGCGGCGCCCCAGTCGGGGATCACACTGCATACCCAAGTGGGAAGATGCAGCTGGTCACACTTAGACTCATAGCTCAAATGAATGAGCGTTAAGTTCAGGAACTGGCTCACAAGTCATTAGCACTTTACAATACTGCATTAGACGACCTGGCAAGTCACCTGTGGAAATGGTCCTGCGCACAGCGGAATGGTGAAAAGTCAGCTAAACAGTATTTGTTTACAATCAATCGGCATCGAGCAGGTACATGCAAATGAAGGCGTGCATGAGAGCGCGCAAAGCACACCGATGATTTTACACAGATAGGAAAAGCAGCATGTGCAGCAGGACGCGCGTGAAGGGGGCACACAGCTGCGCAAATGTGAGCAAGGCCGCCCGGAACACTCTTCTTGCATGACTCGTGCTGGACACTCTTGTGGGACACTCTTGTCTAGTGGACTCTCTTGTCGGGTAGTTTTGTGGGACATTTTGTGGGAAAGTCTCGGGGACACTCTTTTGGGACACTCTTTTTTTGTCACTCCAGCCAGGCGCAGGATTTCTTTGACACTGCCTCAGGTTTACTTGTACCCATCCTTCTTCGTGCCAATGCTTGTAGGCAGTCGACCATCAGCCCGTGCACCTTAATGATCACCGCTGCTTCTGACTTGACCAAAAAACTACAGACTGCCCAAATCTATTTGACAGTCATATACCTTTCTGTTTGGAAGTTGTCGGTGAGGGCGCAAGCATGCGTTCTCAGATTCCAGCCATTGCTTCTCCTTTTCTCCCGCCAGCGCTTGGAAAGCACTGCGCAGAATTTGGCAGAACGACTTTGGCTGACAATTAACCAAAAGACCAGGCCCCCGCAAGGTGACCCTCACTGACGGACCCTTCCCAAAACTACATACTTAGCTAAACGCTAGCTGTATTAGCTTTCCTAAAATTTCCTAACTACAGCAACTGTAACTTTCCTAAATTAGGGTTTTAGAAATAGCTCTTAAAACAAATAGGCTGGAGCAGCCCTTAAATCCTAAGTCCTAATTATGTTCAGTGGTTGGGTAGGACTTAGCTAGCTACCAACTTAGGACATCCGGTGGCGGTGCTGTTGCTGTTGTTGTGGCGGCGGTCCCCACTCCAATCTATGATGGGCAAGCCCCCACTTCCAGCCTTCATGCCCTTCAGGTCCACTTCTGGAGCTACAACGCCATTCTGCCAGGATGCCCCTAATGCTGCGCCCCGCAGCAGCAGCAAAGCCGTGGCCTCCGCCCGGTGACACCGGCGCTCCGCAAGCGCCGCCTCCACGCAAAGGGCTACACCTTGGGAGAAGCCGCCCAGCAGCAAACGCCCGGAGGGGTCGGGGCCTCGCCGAGAGCATCAAGGCGTGGAACACATGTGGATATCGGATTTTCAGTGGTTGACAATCAAATCCAGCTTGTATGATATCTCCAGCAAAATCACGCCGTCCACGATGTCCTTTGCCATCATGTCATCAACAAATACTAGACTATATATAATATATAATATATATATATATATATCCATATATATATATACACATGACATATATATATATATAACATATCCTTATGGAAGATTGCATCACAAGGTGTGGGTGACGCCTGGCAACTTCAACTCCTCTTCCTGCATGATCTCTTGGATCCTCTGCTGCTGCTCCAAGACTTCCTGCGGATCCTGCTAGCCAGGCTGAACGAGTCGCGAACTCCCTTGCCGACTTGAGGCTGTTCCACTTCACCCTCACATTGTGAAAACAAGCAGAACAGGAAAGTCATGGAAAGTCAAGGCTTCAACCTTGACTTAGGTCCTGTGCTGCATGTTGTGAGAATGTCACACAGGTCTTGTCATGTCTTGTCAACTCTCGTGGTTGTTCATTCCCTGAAACTCCAAGGGAGACAAGGCAACCGGTGTCCTTGGCATGCTCCCCATCCTCCGAATATTCAAACCAGGAGTTCATCTCACCCTTCCAGGAATTGTGAGACTCTCGTCTCAATGGTGCACAAGGGATTACGAAACGAATCTCGTTGCGAAAGGGGACGTTCAAGCGGTGAATGATAGGA